ATTTTGTTGTTGTTTTGTTAGTATTATTGTTAAAGCTATTGCTTTGGAGTGGTTTTTGCGTTTTTTGTAGTTTTGGTAGATTCGTTTTTGTTGGTGGAGATGTAACCGGACGTTTAGCCATGGACGTACTTGTTTGGGTTGGTGATGATGGTGCTATGTTGATAGGTGTTGATTTACCTGTTATGGTGACGTTTGCATACGTGCTTTTGGAGTTTGCATTTGGAGTGTTAGTTTCGTTGTATTTGCGCCGTGCTTCTCCCATGGAGCATTTAGCTATGGTTTTAATTTTTAGTATTTCCTGAGTCTGCTTAAATCAGGCGTGATCGCTACCACAGTTTGCACATTGCTTACGTGTGCAGTCAGCTGGAGAATGGGGTGGAAGATTGCAGCCCTCGCATGTGGCAGGACTGGTGCAGCGTGTTTTGGTATGCCCTAGTAGCTGGCAATTTTTGCAGCGCATGGGTGTTGGATAATATGGCGAAACTTTGACTTTCAATAACTTTCTTGGTATTTTACCGTGACTTGACAAAGATTAGCAATCGTTTTTAGTTTTAAGTATTTCTCTGCTATTCTTGAGTTCCGTGTTAGTATAAGTAGTGAACCGTCTTTGAGTTGTTTTATGTTTTCTATTTGAGTTTATACTCCGTCTATTGCTCTTTTTATTACGAATGGGCTTAGTTTTTGTAGTTCATTTTTGGCTGCTGTAATTGTTATGTATTTGGGTTGGTTAAGTGGTGTTTGTTTATGTGTAAGTGTGGGAAATGAGTAATCGATGTTATAGTCGTCAAATTGGCTTAGTATTGCGAATCTGTTTGTTGATTTGTCAGGTGGCTCTGGTTGTGNCGAATCTGTCTGTTGATTTGTCAGGTGGCTCTGGTTGTGTTGGCATTTTGTTGTTATGTTGTAGCGGTTCCTTGTTTACAAAGTGGTTGTTATAGCCTGATGCTCCACTAAAGTGCACAAAAGCGAAAATATGACAACGGGTTATTTAGTATTGTTATTACGCGAGCTAAGAACACTTTTATAAATACACGTCCGAATAGTTTGAGAGTTAGGCGATGACGTGGTTCGTGTTTTAGATTTATAACCAATAAGTACATTAGAGTTAAATTTCGATTAGGATAAATAATCATTATGATTGTTTGTCAGTTGTAAGTTTAATAATTATTATAACTTCCCTTCGTAATCTGGTAATTATTAATCATATATTAAATGATTATTTGTATTATTTTTAAAAAACCAAATGTAATTCAAGTTAAGCTGTTAATGATATAATTTTTAAATGTAACAAATATTATGATTAACAAGACTGATTGGAGAAAATAGTTGAAAACATTACCGAAAATTTACATGCTTAAAAACCCAAATGTAATTAAATTACGATATTGAAGACTTATTTTTAAAGTTTAACCAATATAATGATTAACAAGACTGATTGGAGAAAAAAGTAGAAAACATAAAAAAAAAAGATTTTTAAATAACCAAATGTAATTAAATTACGATATTGAAGATCTAACTTTTAAATGTAACCATTATAATGATTAGCAAGACTGATTGGAGAAAATAGTAGAAAACGTTACTAAAAAATTTAAATTTTTAAAAAACCAAATGTAATTCAATTTAAGATATTGAACATGTAATCTTTAAATGCAACAAATATAATAATTTTTAAAAGATTAACTTATATGCATTATAACAATTGCATCTTTAGCATTTTTTATATTTCTTCATATAGTCTCTTTGAAAAAGGATTTGTTTGAATTCCATTAATTTTGTTTAATATATACTAGAATTTCAATGAAACCATGGTTTATTTTGAATATTTGGGAGTATTTGTCGATAAGATGTTTCTTTAGTGAGAATTTTATGTGAATCTTCATTAATTCATTTTTAATCACCCTCATCGCAAGTGTCGTGTCGAATGCAAGTCGTTTTTCGAGAGTCGAATCGTATCGAAAACTTCACGTCATTGCCTAAAATTTCCACTCGACTAGAGTATTAAAACGGAAAAACTTGGCAGCGCTGTATAGTTTTCGACGATTTTCGTCGTTTATTTATTTCAGCACGACAGTAGACAATGCCAATGTTATCGAGTCGTATAATTTAGCCTAATTTACGACTTACGCAATGATGCTGAATATCTATATGGCCATAAAAAGTTAATTCATTGTCTATTGCGTAGATCAGTGGAATCTTCTTTATACATTTAATTCAATCTGTATATAAAAACGCATTTTAGCACTACCAGACTACTTTTCTTCTACCTTTTCACATCAGGGGATAAAATTGTTACCCGCTTCTATTTCCTTCTCAAATGCAACCTTACAAGGCAGTCGATTGACACAAATGTCAATATTTATCCAACCTTGTATTATTGAATGTATTATTGAATCATGAACGAAGACCAGTGCTGCCGCTGTCACTTCAATTGAAGTTTGTCACTTCTCTTTGGAAGCCTTCACTTCATCACTTCATTTTACTTCCGTTTTACTTCACTTTAGGGCCGGTTTCTCCATCTCTGGTTAACACTAAGGGCCAATTTCAAATGAATATTTGAATGGCACTTTTAAGTTTAATTGTGAACTGTTGTTTAAATGCCATTTAACTTTCGTTGGGTTTCAGATCACCTTTGTTTAAATATGCCAAACAATTGACAGCACTGCTGCATGTTCCTTGAAATTATTGTTGCATTTGCTTGTTTGTTTACATTTTATGCTGAACAACTGATTGTTTTTTGGTGGAATTTGTTGAGATTGAGTTGTTGAGCAGCTTTCCAATCAATCTTGGTTGTTTAGTACAAACACAGGGTTGCATGTCTCATATTTAAATAGCCAATATTGGCCATTAACAGCCCTATTCGCGTGCAATGACAAAACTCGCCGCTATAACTATTGTCATGTTTATAACCAATTGTCACGTTTAGGTATGCAGAGGGCAATTTAAAAGCTCCAACGGTGACAATTGATATTATTTTTGTGATGACCTATTGAGTATGGGACACCGCTAAAACATATGTTAATATTTTCAATTTTATTAATTTTGCAGAAAAAAAGTTGCAAAATTTTACTAAATTAAAACTGAATCCATTTTATTTGCGTAATTAGTTGTGTTAAAAATTTATTATTTGCGTATGCATATCATAATAGTATCCATTGCAGAATATTATTCATGGAGGAAATAACTATTACGTACGCGGCTATTATTGTGGAGCAAGAAGAAATTATACAGGCAAGAAGACTTCTGAGCGAACTCCGAAACAACAGTCTTTTTGGACAGTTTTTACACGTTTGCAGTTCGGGGGGGTCTTCACAAAACTGCAGCTGCTCTTGTGTGGTGCATTCATATTTTCCACGCCTTTTACTACACGAATTCATAATAAAATGAAATAAATTTTCCTATTATATAATTACTCTCTTTACCGACGTTTCGTAATCCATTGCTGTGGTGTATTTTATTTAAAAGAAATCCCGTCTGTTTCAGTGGCGGTCAAAAAGAACAATTAAAATGTAAATAAGGAAGAGCTGTTTCACTATAGAGAAACTTTCGCCGCAATTGGCAAATAAAACGAGCTTTTCGCTTGTCATTATTGACTGTGCATACCTATGACAACTATGAAGACTGTGAAAATTAATAGTGGAAGTTAATCAGCAATCTCTACTTAAATGACCGGTAAAACTATAGTTAGGGCCGGTTTCTCCATCTCTGGTTAACACTAACTCTCCGGTTAAACATTGTTATCGACGTTCTAACTCCATGCATATAACAGGGAGTCGATAAGGTCGGTAACGATGTTTACCGGGGGATTAGTGTTAACCGGAGATAGAGAAACTGGACCTTAGGGCCGTTTGCACCATGTCTAGTTAATTCTAACTCCCAGTTAAACATCTTTATCGACGTTATTGACACCCATCATATAACATGTGATCGATAAAGCAGTTAACGTGCTTAACTGAAGGATGTACCTCCAGTTAGCGTTAACTAGACATGGTGCAAACGGCCCTTAGTGGAGGAAAAGGAGGATGAGAGAAAGAGACGGGAGTCGAGTTTGAGCAGCCGAATTGTGCGGTCGACTAGCAGCAATGAAATTAATTACTATTGCATTTTATTTGAATTTAATCTTTGAATAAATAGTCTTAGTGTTAATATTAAAATTAGTCATTCTTCTGAAAAACACAATTAGTGAAATGAAAATATGGATGAACAATTAAATGGTACATTTTTTTTATTTTTATGACGTTGGGAAATATTGCCAATCAAAAAGAAAATTGCACGCCAAAACTTAACAGTCAGAAAGGGTCAAAATGACGTAGGTTCCAAGTTTTTACTAGTTTTCCGTTTAATAACTTTTTCTGATAATTTTCTGTTACTCTCAAATTTTCTTTCTTATTTTTCTTATAATATTTATTCACAATGAGAGAAATATCAAGAAAGTACGAAAACGCAAAAACAAATTTTATGAACATCTGATTAATTTGTTATTTTCCTACGGAATTTTTTAAGAAAAATAGTATTTCCCATCTTAATATATATTTAAATAGGTTTATTTTGTCAATTGCAACTCTAAAAGCACCACAAACATTTCTTTTGGTAATGTGAATTGCATTAAGCATCAGCCATCAGCTGTTTTTCTTACTAGCAAATAGTTACTAGTAAAAATTTATCCAGTAAAACTTGCAAGTTCAGCAGTCATTTTTGCACACTCTTTTGCTGGTTTCTTGCAAGTTTTTGCGTTCCAAAACGCCTTCCAGAACAACCAGTAAAATTAGTACTGGATTTTGCTGGATAGTGCGTCCCCGAACAGGGCTACTGAATGAACCTAGTGACAACCACAGAGAAATTGAAGTGTATGTTTATATACGTAGGGTCTGAATGTTTTCCACTTGAAATAATTTATAAAAATTATTAAGTGAAGCTCGCAATAGTCTGCAAATTCCTGTTCGCGCTAAACTTTGTAAGTTCCTCTCTGTGAGAAGGTAAGATAAATTATTATTGAAACTTACCTTCTTTTTTAATGATATCTGTCATACCAGCGTTACTAGTTGGAATTGGTGGTTTTTGTGTAATAGCCATAAGCGCCTGCTTAAATTTTATTTTGCCTTCAGCGTCTACAAGTTGCACAAGTTTTTTTTGTAATACATCGTTTCCAGTAGTGTCTGGGATATTTGTAGCTGTATACTTAGCATTCGGTGAGATCATTTTAGCCACGCTATCAATTTTTAACGGCATTAATTTTCCTATCCGACTTAGTGCAATTATCTTCGTTTTGTTGTGTGTTGTTTTCTGAAAACTGGCGCCGTTGGAAACTGGTAGCGCTATTAACCTGGGCGTATTGAGCTGTATTGTTTTTGTATTGTATTGTTTTTGTAGAGTTGACAGAAATGGGAGAGTATCCTGCTCTTGAGTGTTATCGTATGTGGGATTCATTGAAGATGGTCCATTTTTCATAGTGCCTTCTGAAGAAAATATCAGATCCTTAATCATATTACTTTCGAATGCTGGAGGGTCACGGATATCAATCCTGATGTTTTTTTGGGAAATGTAGTTTTGGGTGGTAAAATTTATTTCGGGTGTACATTCCGTTCGCTGTGGACTCTTGCACATAATATTAATACGACGACTAGATGAGACTTCAAGATGCGTCTCATCAACGCCTACCGATGGTTGAATTTTCATATTATCAGCTGAAACTACTCCGCTTTTATTTAGAAATCCAAATAAATTATCACCTAACTCTGCCTTATTGCGAATAAAATATATCGGTCGGGGTTTTTTTGTGGAATTCACTTGGGTTGTAGGTGGATCAGTGTTTATATCTATATTTTGTGATGAAATATTTAGCGTTGATTCTTTATTAAATATGGAACCTTTTTTGCTCTCATTTGCTTCCGTGATCACATGCCTCAGCTGGTCTCCTTGCTTTGATTTGTTGATTATAGCGTCCTTACGAAGCCACATTTCCATTAATGTTTCAGCGCCAAGAGTATGCATGCCACTTAGTGTTCGATCTAGTACCAGATTATGTATAAGTTGAACAGACTTCTGTTGTAGGTGGTCATGAAAAAACATTTGAATTCTTATTGGAAACTCGCCCCATCCTCTGCGAGCTATTTGAAAAGGTGGGATTCGAATATCTACAATATCATTTGGTCTGTATGAAGGGTGAAGATGGAAGCGTACTTTCTTAATGAAGGACTCAATGGGTATGGTCGTATCTTTGGATTGTACGTAAACTATCCATTTATGAGTAAGATCAGCAGCTTCAGGTTTTTTTTTATCTACTCCACCACTTTCTGCTCCAATATAGGTAGAAGTATTACCTATAGCAATAATTTGTTTTCTCTTGTTGTTTAGACGAGATGCATTAAGTGCTCTTGTCTTTTTTATGAATTTATTTTCCGTCATAACAGATATAGATCTAAGAACGCCTTGAGGTACAACTAAAGAATTTTTTTGATTATGTACAGATACCGCTTTGGCCACTTGCACATTTGCTTGCTTGAAACGATCAATAACCAAACTTTGTGGTATTTTCGATTGAGATCGTGCGCGTATAGTGTTTAATGCATTTTGGGCCGCAGCACGTTCAGGAATTGGACGGCATAAAGTTTCAGAATGGCTAAAAGTTTTTTTTGCAGCTATATTTTTGACGGAAGGGTGTAGCTCCATTAGTGGCGCGTGTAAATTATATCCAAAGAGCGTTTCATTTCCTCGCACAGCAGTCACATCACTCGCTGCTAACACTAAATTTTGCTTTTGGTAAAATTCTGATACAATTACATACCGCAAACGATCCAACAAGGTTCGAGACTTCTCCAGTCTTTTTTCTATTTCCGCTAACTCATCTTGCTTCAAACTGATTTCATTTTGAAATTCACGGAAAATATAATTACAAATCATATCTAACTTGCTGTCGGTATTTGAAAATGTTTCATTAAGTAGTATATTAGTATTCTCAACGCGCAATTTCTTCTTTGGACAAGGACGCACATAATCCGGATCATAGTATTCATTATGCTTTCGCTTTTTCGGTGAAGCGCTCGAACAAAGCATATCAACAAAAATACACTTCGTTTCTCCTAAAGGTGTTGAACTTGTTTAAAGAGCGGGTCAGACGTGGCAATATCTCTAGCTTTTCCACGCAATTCGCTGTCGAATTGAGAAATTTTAATTCGTTATGTGAACAGCCAGAAAGACCTTTCTCTCACATTTCGGAAAACAGTTTCAGAAACATGATACAAAAAAAAAACGTAGTTTCATTTAATGACATTTATTGTTGTTGTTAACTATTTGACTTTTAATAATATTGACTTTTCAGCAAATTTATGCTACCTGATCACTAGAAGAAATATTTTTTTTTAAGCAAAAGATTTTATTTTATGGACTTGAAAATTGGGCCGGCTACATAATTTCGAAAATGGGGCTGACGACTAGGTTTCAGAACGCTCAAAGTGTATACTTACACATCGCCGTTTAAAGTACAAAACCGCGCATCGTCGTTGTGCAAAACCGGGTAAATGACATTTTTTGCCAAAAATTTGATTTGCTCACACAAGCTCTTGGCTTACAGGCTAACCTAATATCCGCGGCTTGCGTTTTGGTACGCACGCCGTAGAATTTTTTGTTTTGCGTCACCCGAAAATGGCTTGCGTGCGTTTGCATTTGATTTCATTGAGCGAAATGTCAAATCAAAATGTCACGCAGAACAAAAATTGGAAATTGAGTTAGCTTCATACGCGCGCCGTTCAATTTCGGTTGGTCGCATACAAAATGTACATATGTGCATGAGAAATTTTTGACAGTAAATTGGCGGCGTGCGTGAATATTAGGTTAGCCTGTTAAGCCTTATCTATTCGTCCTGAAATGCGATGTCTTTGTAAAAAAGAGAACCATTTTGAAATATGAGTGTTTTTACTCTTTAGAAAATACTTTATCACATATCATTTTAAGTTAAAAATATAATATGTGATATGTGATAAATATATATATATATATATATGCATTTTAAATTAAAAATTTGAGAAAGTTAATGAAAATAAAATTTGTAATTCATTAAAGAGTTATTCGCAAAAACATTTGCAATTACGACATCACTGGGGCTGCAGCCCCAAGTTTACCACACACACAAACGGAATTCTGGTTACCTCATCCTTTCCCAAGGCTACATCACTGGGGGTAACCCCAGTTGGTGCACACAAAAAGGAGAATTCTATTTGGTAAGGGTTATAATCCTAAAGCGCGGCCGGAGGCCGCCTACGCAGAAAAGAGTTGGACGCACAAACAATTTTTTAATAAAGTGGCAGCAGCAATTTTCCTCCATTTTATTTTTAATAGAGTGGCAACACTAGGTTTCTTCCATCTTATTTATATTTACTGCACAAGATTTTTGTGCGGATTTTCAACATTGCAATATTCCAATTAAATACGGAATTTCGTGAAAATTTACACTTGAAACGTGACAAATGTATAAAAAGTAATCAATTCGTCTTGAGTTCATCTGCTCCATTTATTTGCGTAAAATCCATCAAAACATAGTGCGGAAAGTGCAAGTGTTTTTTTTTTTGTGAATAACTCTTAAATTAATTAAAAATCTTAATTTCCAGTCTCGGATTGTTATCATTCGCGTTAAAACGCGTCGATCGATACCCCTCTTGATTTTTTTGGTCAATTTTGGCCTGGTTCCGCTGAAGTGCACTTTTACCAAAACCTCTTTCGAAAGACACTTTACATGCAAGGTGTGACTGCTCATTCAACTGCTTTCCGAAATTTCTCAATTTGACAGCCTTTTCGAAATATATTGCATACGAAATATATTGCCACGTCTGACACGCCCTTAACTGTAACTTATTAGTTGTGTTTAATGAGCTGCTCTAGGTTACGCCAGGTTAGTAGGGAATTTACATGAGGCGATTTTTAGTTGAAAGCAACAATCGCCTGGTGTAAACGGCCTTTCGCTTACAATGAAGTTGGTCGGCTGCCTACTTTCGTTCAACTTTTGGTTCAACTAATCGCCTGTGAAAGTTAAATCATGTATATTCCCTATAAGATATCTCACGAAATTGTGTTTCATGGGGATTTTTCTTGCTCTAACTTAAGCCTGCTATACAGTTCAATGTGAGCGGGAGCGTGAGCTTTTTATTTTGACCAATATCTTCGTTATTACTTAACTTTTTGCAATAGTTTATTCATCAAAAGATAGAGAATTAAAATATCTTTCAGAATTATAGAATAAAAAATAATTTACGCATATGCTTTTTTTCAAGCTCACACTCAACTGTGTGCGTACGCAAAGCAGATGTGTGTGAGCGTCCATAAGAATACAAATGGAATTCTTTGCCTTTGCGAATGTTCACGCTCACGCTCGCACTGAACTGTATATCAAGCTTTAAGGTAAGACCACACTAAGCGACGCGATACTGCAGCGGCACTACGCGACACGGCGCGACACTTTTTGATATATCGCACTGAAACTGCAGCGGCGCGACAATTCGATGCAAATTTTTTTATTTTTTTTGTGTCAAAACCTTCAAACAAGATGGATGCCAGTGACGCTGATGTAATGTTAATGCCTTTTATTTTTATTTTCCTTGGCGAATTCTCAAATATTATGTTTCTCTACATACAATTTTCTTCTTGAATGAAATGCATTTGAATATTCACTCACAATTGGAAATCCAATTACTTCAAATTAAAAATATAGTACGAAATGTTATGTCGTTACGCTAGGTATACCGCACTATGCGGCACCGGGACTGCGCGACACCATGCGGCGCAACATTTTTGCCTGTGTGGTCAACATTGCCGCGCAGGGTCGCGTCGCGTAGCGCCCTACATCGTAGTGCGGTATGCTCCATAAGAATACATGCAAAGAGTATTTTGCCGCGCTGTGTAGTGTCGTGTCGCGTCGCCTAGTGCGGTCGTACCTTTAGAGCAAGCAGACACACACACACGCTTTACAATTGACGACCTGAATTGTCGAGCAATCAACTGTTTTGATAATTTCTGCCTGACAAGTGTTTCATGAGATTTATGATCTGAGTTGCTCTAAAGGCCCGTCCACATACAACTTTGGCGTTGCGTTGGCGCTGGTGTCACTTTGACAGCAGCGCGAGTACCGCCCGTGCTTGCTACAATGAACGCTTAGCAGAGAATACTTTGGTCACTAAATTAACATACTAGCGGAGATAAATCAAAATTTTATATCAATAATTGCATTAAAAACTATATTTCTTGTCCGCATTTGATTAAAAAGGAAAATTAAATCACATAATTTTGATTATTTGGAACAGCTGACGAACGAAGCGCGCGAAAAATTGCGAGTTGGTCATCTTTTTGCGTTGTGTTGGCGTTGGCGTTGCCCAACTTTGGTTATGTGAAGACTTTCATATAAATGCATGGATTCATAGTCAGCTGTCGAAGCGACGCCAACGCCAACGCAACGCCAAAGTTGTATGTAAACGGGCCTTAACTTGCTCTATTTTTGTTTTGGCAGCTGCTCTATTCTGCTCCAACTTGGGCTGCTCTACAATTTTATCGGTCTCATTAAACACAACTATTATGATAAAATGTCGAGAAATCTATGTATTTCCACGAACCAACGATCACGCAATCTGCCGTCGTATTTGTAATTGAATTTCAGAAAAAAGTTTTCTTAGCGCTTTTGATGTTTTTCCCTTTTGTTTACATCGTCTTCTAACCCTTCGGGATGGCTTTTTTTTTAGCAATTTGATGTTTTATGAGCGGTTTTCATTTTAATTTTGATTCATTACAAATTTGTCATATAAAATGAAGTGCTTTGTGATTGGAGCAAGTTTGTGCGTTTGTTTGGTCTGGCAAAAGGAATAAACTTTCGTGAAAAGTGGGTGCACGTTTGTGGCCAGAACGTTGACATTGAAAAATCAACCCTTGGTAATGATATGCGATTGTAAAACACTTTCAATCATGAAAACCATATTTTATGACCTTTTTTTGCTAATTGTCATCGAGTCTCACTTTGTATATTTTATAATAAATACCAATTTAATCGCACTCAATCCCCGGGCCTTTTTCGTTTTCTTTGTTTGTTTTCACTCTTAGGCAGATGTCAAAAACGCTCAGGAATTAACTTTTTTCATTCTCTTTCGATTGCGTGATCTTGTTAGTTGGTTCAATTGTATTTCGTTACTTTTAACCATGACACCTTTTAATACTAGAAGTTTCGAAAAAATATGGATGCTAGAGCTGGGATACTATCGCCACTATCGATAGTTTTTAAAAACTATCGATGTCGGTTTTAGCAAGACTTCACTATGTCTCTTCTTTACATTTCTACATTAAATAATTTTTTTTTTATGCAAGGAAATTCACAACAGTCGGCAAAAAAAAAAATTAAGTCATTGGGTTTTTTAGCAACTATAAGCTTACACTGAGTTATAGTAAAATTTAATAAGCAATAAAACTGCTTACACAAAATTTTTATAGAAATTCGAATTAAAAAGCTTGAATTTTTAATTATATTGTAGTTTTTTGGTTTGTACATTTTTTATAAAAATTAGACACTAAATAAACAAAAAAAAGTAGTCAAAACTGCTAAAAAATATTGTGGTGCTATTATTTTGAGCAGTACTATATTCGTTTTCTTATAAAATGGTAAAATGTTAATAATTTCCCTTGTACGGATTTTGATATGCGCCTCCGTACTTTATCTCAGTTTAACTTTTATAAGAATGAGTTGTCAATTTAAACGAATATCTTTTATTTTGTTTGTTTTGTAGTATTATAAATCTTTTTTTATAGCCAATTTCACTTCTTTGCACTTTAAAAGGGACAAACACAAGCCGATTTTAATTTTGCCATATAAAAAATAAATTCAGAATTTTCCTGTCGTTATTCAAGGGGATGCAAGGGTATGTATATAAGTTATATAATTCAGACGCATAAATGAATAAGTTTATTTTATTATTATAAAGTTATTTTGGATGCACTCAAATAAAAAAAAAAAATATACAATCTCTTTAATTTACAAAGTAATGTATAAATTTTATAAATTTATTAATTATTTAAATTTCAAGCAATTGAGCTTTTCAATACAATACCTTTCACGACGATAGTACTATCGATGTTTTCAACTATCGTTTCGAAAACTATCGAGTGGCGGTACTATCGACGAGCATGCTCGCTGAAAATCAAAATTTTTTGATTTTTGGCGAGCATGCGCGCAAACCGCCCTACAAACGACGAGCATGTGCGCATGTGCGCGGATATGCTCGTCGTGTGTAGCTACTGTAATGGATGCATCGAAAATATCGAAGTCTTGCACGATTATACATGAAATATCTACTCCAACGAACCACCAACAAAAATACAAGATCACCTAATCAAATATGCAAGAAAAAAAAGTATATTTCTCAGGGATTTCGACATCTGCCTAAGAATGAAAACAAACAAAGAACACGAAAAAGGCGCGGTTATTGAGTGCGAATAAGTTGGTATTTATTATAAAATATACAAAGTCAAACTTGATAACAATTAGCAAAAAAAGTTCATAAAATATGGTTTTCATGATTGGAAGTGTTTTACGATCGCATATCATTACCACGGGTCGATTTTTCAATGCCAACGTTCTGGCCACGAACGTGCACCCACTTTTCACGCAAATTTACGCCTTTTGGCAAACCAAACATACGCACAAACTTGTTCCAATCACACAGCACTTCATTTTATATCATAAATTTGTAATGGAGTGCAATGGGGTATAGTCGTTGCGCTGGGTATGCAGTTACAGTTGCATGGCTATACTCAATCCCGACTCTTGCGTCCTCGTTCGCGCACTCTGGGCAACGTGAGCAACCCATGTGCGAGATGCGGTAACCAATCCGAGTGGAGC